TCACTTATTAGGCTTGGAGAACAAAGTGAATGACTAGATTTTCATGTGTTCTTCATCGCCTCGTTCTCTGCGAATTGAGGCATCCAAACTGTGTCGATTCGGGATGCTTCAAGAGGAAGAAAGGATTGATAATCGTCAATAAGGACATGTTCTTTGAAGTGTTTTCTTGAATGATGTTGGATTTGTCAGCTACCTCTGACGTGGAAGAGGCAGAACGAGAGGTGGCAATAGTTGCTTGAACTGCTTGGAAGAAGGCCAAAGATAAGGTCTGGGCAAAGATTGCTCCTACCCAAAAAATCAACACATGAAAGAAGGTCTATCAAGGCTCGCGATGATTTAGTCGGCTCTTTAGGTTAGGAATTTTTTTTATATTTTTGAAACTACAGTGGTAATCCGTCAAATTTTCACTAATGAGCTAACAATCATAGAAGGTAGACCTTTGGTTTAGTTTAAAAAATATATGTTGGGTGCAACTACTTCCTGCACACTAGTCCATGAGAATCTGGAGAGCCATTCAGTTGCTCTAAAGAGAGCAAGGCTGAGGAAGAGTCCTCTAAGGAATAACCCAGAGGCGGCATCTCAGAAGGTGCGTCATAGGGAAGGGAATGAATGAGTTCCTGAGATGACTCCACCTCCTCCCTCCTATCGAAAAAGGAGGAAGGGTTCCCTTGTTGGCTAGATTTCCTTTGATATTAAGGGGGCAAAGATTTGGAATTCTTTTGACAGTTGGTACACTGCAATCGATTGGGAGGTGGATTGGTATGATGATTCACTGCCAGCCAAAGTCTACTCATCTACATTTGTTGAAGTGATATGCTATTGAGCTCTAATAGAAGATCGGTCGCCATCATCTCAAGGCATGGGAGGCTTTCTACCTCTAGTCGGTGGCGCTTGACCGAGTGGAGATGAAATGGGCCATTGCCTCAGAAAGGATTGATACCTCGACCATGCTCAATAACAAGGGTGAGAAACAAGCAGTGATAGCCAAACAAAGGCTAGAAATGGCGAAGGAGTAGATTGTTATCCTGTTGGATTTTCTTTTCGATCGCCCAACAAGAAAACCAAGAACAAAAGTCAAATATTGAGACCAAAAACCCGAGGAGGAATTTTTCGAGGCTCTCCCAACCAATCCGCGGCAGAAAATATCCTTAGTGAGCAACTTCGGGTCGGCATCATCACAGCGATCAACTTGTTCATTCGGTTGTGCCTTATTAATATGAAGTTTTCAAACTTAGACGAGTTTGCTGCTTTGTATACTAGCTCTAAGGGATCCTCGTGGGATGACTCAAATGTCGGAGGCGATGAAGGGTCCTCCAATCAACCTCCTAATACTTAGGCAAATTTTCTAAAAAAACTTTTGTAAAGATATTTGAGTAAATGAAATCTTTTGTAAGAAACTTGAACATCTGTTACATTTAGATATGAATGAAGCTTCTCAATCAGTTTTACATATTTTTCTATTTTTTTTATTTTACCTTTAACACATTATTTTTTGGCAGTAATTGCTTCGTGATGAATGTTGGTAATGATTGATGACTTGCATTTTTGGAAATAACAATGGTTGTTTCTGATATGTCACAGCTCGGCAAAAGTCTTACACTACCTATCTCATACACTCGATCGGATTGACGCCTAGGTTGGTTAACCAATGAGACTCGTTGCTGGGGTGATTGGTGACGTACCATTTGCGAAGCCTGTAGCTGCAGAGCATGGAACCACCTTCAGGGTTTTATCCACGCTGAGCTTTGAGATGGGTTTTTTTATGCTTGGCATTGAGGGCCAGGTTTTATGATAGAATGTCAATTAGACGTATATGAAGTTGTTTTCGATCGTCATTATTATTTTCTACTGATCGTACGTCTATGGCATCACTGTCGGCTTTTATGATATCGACGTCTGTCTCGCCTCTTATACTTTTCCAGGTCTCGATTGCTTGGTTGGATTGACACTTTGGTCGGGTAACCGATGAGACTCGCAGTTGGGGTGATTTGCACCGTACCCTTTGTGAAGTTTATTGGTACTGGGCAGGGAACCACGTTCAAAAACTTATCTGATCCAAGTTTGGAGACCAAGATTGACGATGCGAGAGTTTGGTGGAATATTTGCCAATCGGACCTCTTTGGGGTTCCTGTCGACATTGCTATTTGGATTTGAGTTCCTCAAGTGTCAATCGAACATGGGAAAAACATTAGAAGGATTTATGTATAATTTGGGGAAGATAAGTTTTTAAATAAAACTCCCTTTGTCCATTGAGCTAGTTGCCAGCCGTTCAGAATTGACTTAACGTTGTGTATGTATCTTTGATTGGCTTTTTCTGAGAGAGTGTCCTGACCGTTCACAACTGATCGATTGTTTCAAGGGTGTGAATATTGCCTCCAAGCCAATGCCTCTTGGAAGATGATGAAAATGAGTTTTTGGTTTCTGGATATGTTGTATGAATTTCTTGACATGCTCCTCGTTGAAAATGTCTCGGATATGTTTTTTCTCCTCGATGTCGCTTCCCTTCTTGTTGGTAGCTCACTGCAGCTTTTAGAATGTTGGATCTAGATAATGTCCTGTGAGGCATGCCCAAGGATCAGAGCGATATGAACCATGAGAAAGAAGTAGAGAGGGAGATAGAGAGGGAGAGATGAGAGAGTGCACATAGACTTGCCCCGTACAGCCCGGGCTCTATGAGCTATTTTATATATTTCAAGTGGCAATTAAAAGAGAGAAGGGAATAAAGTTCTCCCTGTGGAAGATGGGTCTATAGACAAAAGCCAAATACCCAAAAGCCTAGAAGCCTCTAACACATGATATAGCCCTTCTATTTATAGGTGATGAAGGGACAAAAAGTAATATTATATGCTTGCTCTTGCTTTAATAGAGACGCTGCAGCTTACGCAGCACCTTTTATTATGTATAACCGCTTTAATTTATTATTTGTACTTTTGTGTGCCTGGGTCTTCTGCTCTGGAGGTCCTTGGGTCTGTTGACCGAGCTAGTGTCGGTAGGCTATATTACCTAGACATCGACCCACTTTCGCTCTGAGAAGCTGGTCAACTTTGAGTGTGCCAGATGGTTGGCCTTAGAGTGGTCAGTTGACCTTAGAATGACCAATCGACTTGTTTGGTTATTGTTCCGTGGTGATCTCTGGAGATCTTTTGAGGATCTATCAATAGAGCTTCGTTTTGAGATTTGGAATGTTGGGCGTGTTAAACCTTTGACCGATCGTTGGCGTGGATGCTTATCCCTGGTCAGCTTGAGTGGCCCTTTGGTTGGTCGGTAGCTCTTTAGTCGGCTGGTGGTCTTTAGTCGATCAGATTTATGAAAATCTGTGATATGAACCGCTATATTGTCTTAAGATTCATGCATACCATTTTTTAGTGTACAGATAGTTAAAATAATAAAACGAGATTTTAAAACATTGTTTAATGGAGATTGTTTTTTTTTCTACTTTTTTACTTAACACTTATCAGAAAAAAATTTCTTATAAAATTGCTTTTTTGCTGCAAATTTTATTCCAATTTATTAATACCATATTTTATTGAAGTAAATTCTATGAAAAATAAGGAGAAACCACCCCATAGTTCTTGCAATTTTCTGGCTGCTCTTCCAACCATAAAAACATTAAAAAAATAATTCTTAACATGCCCTTGGTGTCTTGCCCATTTATTTTTTGAGACACAAGCTGTTGCAACATTTTTGTCGAATATTTTATGGGCAGACCATCTCATCAAATATTTCCTTCAACTCATAACAACTAATTACTAGCTATCGTATGTTCAGCTTTTTAAATAAAGGCCACATATCCTCATACAAATTCAAAAGTCTATTACTTTTGTAAAAAAATTGTTGATGATTGAAGTTTTGTTACCACCCATCAACCAAACTACTTCAATAACCATTTGCATCATGGTCCTCCAACAACATTACTTCATCATGGAATTACTTCAATCATTTGTACATCATCTACAACTTACACACTTTGAATCATCGCCTTCATTAGTTTGATGAAAGCTTTACTTATTTGTACTTCTTTACTCTGGATTTGTTATTTGCACTTGCATGATTAGCGTACCCATAACTTAATAATAAATGCACTTTTATGTGTGGCAAAAATACAAGTACGGGTTGATGAAATGAAATTGTGAAGTACAGCAGGAGGCATTTGCAAATTATTATATTGATTTTAAAATAGGGATTGCGTATAAAGAATTTATATTACATCAGTTAATACAATAGTTTTTAAATTTATTCTAACATAATTCATATAGGGAATCCTCAAGGTTTTCCCATTTGTCACCAAGATAAATATATGTCGCTATATCCTTAAATCAAGACCAGCTTTAGCTGGAATTAATTTTGGCCAATTTAGTTCCCCTTTCAATCTGGCTATTCACTGAAAGAATAGTAGTGGAACATCCAGCCTAAAATTGGAACTGATAAATGAGAGCCAAAACAGAACTAGCTTAAATTCAGAGTTTAGTATTGTAATGAAATGCACAATCTTATGCCAAGCCATACACATAATTTTCCATAATTCAAATCTAAATACGTAATTCTTTAAGTAAAAATAAAATCTCGCCTAAAAACCACTCAAAACATATTATGGCAATGTCCTGAAATATTGTGAAGCATGTGTCATAACAATGAATTTTTAGAATTTTATGGGGAATCCATAACAAGCCATTTGCATGGCATGTAATTTCCATAACATGATTTTATTTGTTTTCAAAGCAAAAATAGCATGCTGTCACATGCAGAAGCAGAACACAGATCATACAGATGAATTTGAAAGTAGGTGACCGATATTGTAGAACAATTAGGGCGACAGATAACAGACCAATAGAGATAAGTTTTTGTACATATGTTAGAACAAAGAATGAAAAGAAAAGAAACTTGCATGCAAAAACAGAGAGATTTGCGTTAACACCAAAATTAATGATTAAATCTTTCGAGAAAACCCAAATTCAGCAATTGTAACCAATCAGAAACTGTTATAGACAATAAAGCCCCAAGCTTTCCAAGATAAAAGATTAATAAAATGTACACAAGGTAACAAATGAAAGTTACACATGGGGATATGACCGAGAATCCCCTTCTACATGGGTAAAGGAGTGATAAAAATATCCAAGTATAATATACCAAAGACTACAAGACGCTGAAATCTCCCCATGATGGGGATGGTTGTAAAGGTCATCTTTCATGGGGGAACAAGAAAGTACAATTTCTAATAACCCTCTACACCTATAATCATAATTCAAATTCGTCCTCAAGCTTAAGAGCCTCTGCAGCTGCCTCCTCCTCATCGTCATCAATCACAAAGTACGGGTTATGGACCTCGGGCCTAAACCTGTATCCGGTGAAGATATAGAAAGCAAGGGTGGCCAGCTCCCCAGCTACCACACTGGTCCAAATATATCTATAAGAGGTAATAGTAACCAACGCGTACACAACAACTCGAGTAAAGTAGATGTAGCAAATTACAACAATGTAGTATTGTCGGAAAAGTGTGAGCTTCATGAGATTAACAGCAGCTTTTCCATCCGTCCTTGCAGCCTCACGAAGGTTTTTAATCGACCAGACAATGGGGAAAAGAACAGCACAGCAGCAAATGACATCCACAAGAAGAAAGATTTGCTTCCATGTAATCCAATCTCTGGCATAAGGTCCGGACTCATCGATCACCACCTGAGCTATATTTGCTACGAGCTGGAGAGGTATTACAACCATAAGCACCTTCTTCTCCCTGTCCTGAAGGTAGGGTTTAAGGAAGGACCAACCGGTACCAATCAGGACAATCAAAGTAAATAGGGAAATCCCCTTCAAGAAGCTAAAAATGTAGAAGAGAACGTCCCATCCATGGGCATTGCCAGTACGCTCAATATACGACTTGTCCTCAGCCTCGCATATAAGATTAAGCGCCTTGAGGATGACAACGGCGAGCATGAAGTAGTGGATCCGGCATGCAGTCAGCCGCTTACGAAACAAAACCGAAGCCCATAGCGTCGCAAGGCTGCCATAGACTAGGAAGAAAAGGAAGTAGACGAAAGGCAATATGGCAGAACCGGCAGACAGGTAGACGCGCCGCCCAGAACCAGGTTCGATGTTGTACATAGCAGATTCAACAGACATAGAAACGCGAATCTGAGTTGCCGGTAAACGATCGAAGGTGTATACGAGTTTGACGAGCGTTGATTGGAGAGCACAAGTAACATCCATCTCCTGTATCTGCTGCAAAACGTGAATCCAGGTATCGTGTGTGCTTAGGAAAAACCCTAGCTGCGAGACATCGAGGTCGGGATTTGTATCGGAGACAGAGATCCCGGAGACTTTGAGTTCGAGGACGCCAGTACGTGTGAATCCGAACTCGTCGAAGGGTATTATTGACCGGGCGTCGTTTTTTATCTCGTTCAGGCGGATCTCAGCCACCGACGGCGAGATCAGCAACGCAGCTACAGCAATCGTCAAGACAAGAAAGGCCGCCCTTCTGCGGAGAGAGCCTGAGATCTCCATTATAAACAACGAGATCTGATCTCTCCCTTTCTCTCTCTCTTACTTCTTCGCCGGAGGAGGGACTTCGCCGGAGTACGCGTTCTCAAAGCGTTAATCGTCGGCAAGGAAAGGAGGGCTCTTCAAACTTGTGCACAAATCGCTATGACCAAAATAAGGGAATGGAAAAGGAAAAATTATGGCATTAAGGCGGTTGAAAATGACAAAAGAAAAGAAGGTTTGACTGAGATAGTTTCGTAAAAATGTTAGAATATGTATATATACTATGTATGTATGTGTGTGTGCATGTATATATATATATATATATATATATATATGCATATATCACTTTTTTATAAATTACATCTCTAAAATTTATAAAAATTTATATATTTATATTAATAACTATTGAGTGCCGATAAATGATATATGAATGTCTTAAGTGGAAAACTCGAAAAATTATATTAATAATTAGTTTTCTACAAAGATCCGGCACATATACTGTACAAAAAAATTCACATAATGTAAAAAAAAATTACATAAAAAATGCAGAAGTTTTTACGTGAAAAGTCTGAAAAGTTAAAAACAATAGACCCTAGTCCAATTAAAATAGTTAATTATGTCGATGTAGGTTATATGATTTTACTGACTCTTGATTAGTTGAATGTAATATTCCATGACCGGAGGTTATCGAAGTGACTTCTGCTAAGGAAGTGGTGAAATAAACTGAGGACTATTATGAAAGTAGACTGGCATTAGAGGTCTGATGTCAGAAATTTTGATGTCAGCAACATCAACAGCAGTAGTGGTCCAGCAGTAGCAAAGATGAAGGCTAGACAACCTTAGTATAGTGGTGGTGACGACCAAATGACGGTGGTCTGATGGCTCGATGGCAAAAGGCGGTGGTAGTCTGGAGATGGGGACAACTAGACGGTGGTGACGATGCCCAAATCGCAGTGGCTAAACAATGATGGTCTGACATCGGTCTAGTGGTGGCGAAAACCAAATGTTGGTAGTCCGACAACTTAATGACAGTGGTCGGACAGTGACGACTATGGCTGCAAGACAGTGGTGGTATAATGGTTGCGAATGTAATAAGGCGGCGAGTACAACCAGATGTTGGTGGCCAAGCAACTGTAGTCCAACAGTGGCGGCGACTTGACGACAATTGCAGAACAGTGATGCTCTAGTGGCAGCTGTTGCCAAACAACAATGGTTTGACAACGATTATTGGGCAACAGTGGTCTGGCAGCAACTACGATAGCTAACAGTGGGGTTTTGCAACAAAGAAAATAGCGGTGGTTAGTCAGCGGCCAATCAACATCAATCTGGTGACGGTGGAGCTCAAGAAGCCTTGAGAGTTTGCAGCTCTTTCAGCTTTCTCCTCTTGGTCCGAGTCCCATTCCATGAAAAGAGAAGGGAGTCTATTACAGATTTACTGGTGATATCCTTTGTAAATACCATATGAATTTAGAACCAAATGACTCAAACTGATCATTGTGATCAAATGGAGTTTTATGAGCATTTAAGCGCTTTAATAATGTTAGACAAGTGATTTTATGCTCGTTGAATTTGACTCGTCGAGAGGCTAAATTTGATTAATTAATTTGTCAATTCTGGAGATTAATTGGTCCACACAAATATATTTCAAAGTTTCCAACTATGAATTAAGTACATGATCTTGACCCACTTGGATTCCAGTCAGATCATTTTTGATGTCATATGGTTCGTCTCACTGAGACCCTTTGCTTGATCATAAATCGAAGTACAGGTGTTTCCAAATTTGTTTTTGAAGCTTTCAGCCAAAAATATATGCCAACATTCATGAAGAACAATATGATTTTACACAGAGGTATCAATAATACTTTATTGTTATAAATTTACATATTAAAATAAGGATTTACATGCATACCACTCAATTCTTACGCATTTACATATCCAACACCTAAACCTTATTTTTTTCTTTTCACATTTATTTCACTCAACTCCTTCACATCACATAAAAAACACAATTTTAACTTCTAAAAACTGAAATACACATTTTCATATATAGTTAAGGTGGTATGTATGTATAAGTAGGTGTTAGATATGTAAATACATGGAATAGAGTGATATGTACGTAAATTTTCCAAAAAGAAATGTATCTCAGTGATGATATTTGTTTACTGTAATATTAAATATTTGAGTGATGCACATATTTATGAAAACTTAGATTTTTAACATGCATATTAACAAGAGTTATGTGATCTTCGTGTAAATGTCTTTATTATATTTTACCCAATTAAATCTTTTTAGTTTGACTTTATTTGACTTTATATGGCGCATTATATATTCATGTGTTATTGTATGTTATTCAGGTGTTATTGTTTGACTTTATATGGAGCATTATATACTCAGACTTTATTGTATGTTATTCAGGTGTTATTGTTATGAGAATATTTTCGTTGTTATAATAACACAATAACACATCAATAACATTTGAATAACACACAATAACACCCGAATAACATGAAATAAATATTCTCTTGTGTTACCGGACAGATTTTATTTTATTTTTCTGTCGCCGCAACGTGATGTGATTTCATTGGACTCCGCACGTAACTCTAGGTGCGGAGTCCTGATGCAATATTTTCTCTTCATTTTGAGCTCAGTAAAATAAAGATTAGTGCTCTCTTTTTTTACTATAAAACTTTCAATGTAGTTATAAAATTATATTGTGTATACATAAACATTCTCATGTAATCTGATTAATGTTAGAGAAGACTAATCGAGAAGCAATAACATTTATATAACCGGGAGAAAAAATCAATAGATAATATTCATTTGATAGGTTGTAGGATTACTTAATCTATACTATAATTCAAACTTTCCCATCATTCTTGTGAAACCTTAGAAGTAGACTGGAGCCGACCTCTCTAACATTGAGGCATCCTTTGATGTAATGGTAGAATTTCAATAGAAACTTCAAAGTTAAACGTACTCGTAATGGAACACTCCTAGAATTGTGTCCTGCTGGGAAGTTACACCAACAGGGCAAAACCGTAAAGCGGATAATACCTTGATAGGTGAGAGTACGGGTTCTCATAATTATAATTTTATATGATGTTTTATTTTAACGTAAGAGAATGAATTTTTAAGTTCATAACAATATTTAAAGTTGCTATTGATATGATGTATTTAAGTATCTATATACATTATTATCAGTCTCTATTAATATATGTATGTCTTCTTAGTTCATGTAGTTTGACAAAGTATATTATTCATTGGTGCATTTAAGTGTTCATGAATGCTATTTAGGTCTTTTTTATATTATAATGCTCTATTATTTTTGTGGAACTAGATAAGAATTCAATCTAGAGGCCATTAATCAAATCATATAAAATAATTTGATCACAATTTGAATATTGTTTAAACCCTATTCAAACATTATTCAAATTATGTTTGAACTTTATCTGAGAATGGCTTGAACATGTTTCAAATAAGCTATAATAGCATACTATAATACATTAAAATGTAATTTCAATTAGGGGTGTAAACGAACCGAACACGAACGAACAGAGCTTGTGTTTGTGTTCGGTTCATTTGAAATTTGGTTTGTTTGAAATAAGCTCGTGTTCGAAATTGTTCGTGAAGTCATTGTTCGTGTTCATTTCTTAACGAACGAACCGAACACGAGCTGTTCGCGAACGACGAGTCAGTTTGACATTTCTAATATTAATATATATAAATAATATATTATATTAATTATATAACTTATATTATATAAATATACACTATCTATATTAATATATTAATGATATAGTATATTAATATATTATTATTATTATTTTATTATATATTATAATTTATATAATTTAATTTTTTAAAATGTGATAATTTTTTATATATAATTATTTTAAATTATTTTATATTTCGAACAATAACGATTCGGTCACGAACGCACGCACTACTGTCGTTTACTTATCGAACGAATCTAACACGAACTCATTGACGAACCGAACGTGAACTGTTCGTGAACAACGAGCTTTTTTGACAGCCCTAATTACAATAATTATAATGTAACAAAATATAACTTTGATAACATAAAATATAATCAAAACATAACATGATATATTATAAATTTGACATAACAAAGGAAAACCACACACATACAACAAAACAGGGCACTTAATAATAATGAAGTGAGTCCCTTTGTATTCAAAAAATTTAGTATAATACAAATTTTTTATAATTATGAATTGCAAACATTTATTCTTGTATCATGAAAGTTGCAGAATCTTTAAACTTGCATATACTTTTTTATTGAAATTAGAATTTATTTAGCCTTCTTAAGATGATAAAAAATATTTTATTGCTTACAATTTTATCAATTATAGTCATTGCTCTATATGTCATTTGAACACTATAATGTGTCTTTACAAAAATGATTAGAGTGAAAATCTAACTTTAAACAAATTCAAATAAATCAATTTTATAAAAGTGGAGAACTTATTCAAACTTGTATAAGCTTGATTCAACCAAGTTTTGAGTTTGGTTTGAGCATTGATCAAAAGTTATTTAAATGAGATTTGAATGAGATTTAAATATGCTTTAAATATCATTTATCTAGTGTGTTTCCATTTCAATCTTGTCACTATTATTTTTAGATTTCATTTCCAATATCGCTCTTTTGTCGTGTTGTTTAGAAATCACAGAGGGGTATCATGAAAACCTTAGCCAGAGAACTGCAAGAAAACCCCTGGCCTGAGAGCGCAAGAAAATCCCTAGCCCCAAAAAAAAAAAAAAGAAATAGCTTGTCAGATTCTGAACATTACGTTTGATTTTGAACAGTACTATGTATTCTTTCTCAATTAATGATCAAGTTTCGTGCCAATTCACACGCTAAATATTTGTTTACTTCACTTTTCTTAATATTAAACAGTGAGTCCTGACACTTTTCAAATGGCTCAATTTTATTGGAGTCCCGATGCATAACTACATCCGAACTTCGGATGCAATATTTTCTTCTTTAATTAAATATTAGGGATCAAGTTTTGCGCTTAATAGATTTTTGGAAAATTTACGTACATACCCACAATTCCTTGATATTTAAAATATCCAACACATAAACTTTCATATTTATATTTATAACACCTAAACTCAAATATGATCTCAAAGCTATATAAATTTTAGTTTGAGTGGTTCATTTAAGGGCACGTTCACTTGCATGAAAGTAACAAATATTAATAATAAAAAAATACCTTTTAAATGTGGAAATAATTATTTAAGTTTTAATCTACAATTTAGGGCGGCAGTTCACCCATCCTAGTCTTTCTATTAGTTATAGATTATGACATCTAATCTACACAGCATCACCTGGTTGGTGCAAACTTTTTATATACTGTATTTTTATCAAAAAATTTGTACAACATTTTTGTGTGCATTATGTTAATGGGACCATTGACCATTAAGTTGTGCGAACGACACAACTTAAATAAGTAGCAACTTCCTCCAATGCTAACAAAAATGAGATGGAAAAATAAAATAATTATACTTATTTTAAGGAAGATTTACATACGAATCAATTCTTATGAATCCGTGTACCGAACACCTGAACTTCACTTTTAACAGACATATCACCTTGTCTATGTATGAAAATGTGTATTTCACTTTTTTGAAGTTGAATTTATGGTTTTTGTTATGTGATATAAAATGTTCGAGTGGCACTTTATTTTAAATATCAAACACAAATGAATTCATGTGTGATTGTGAGTTATGTCTGAATCCTGCAGCTTGCTTGGAGGGGGAAAAAAAAAGAAGTCCCCTGAGAGAGTGATTTTGAGAGCTTTTAAGATTTCACAATTTTAGAAGGATTAGGGGTTTTAAGAGTAGCAATGAAGATTGATAACTCGAACCGCATACTCGAAAAGTCGGCACTCGTCACCCTGTTAACTTGGAAGGTTGACTTGATAGGTAAACTCAAAAGTCACATTAAGTGTATTCATTTTGTTACTCAATTATCTCGGTTCTTGAAGGGGAGACTTGCAAAATGAGGAGAAAATTAGTAATCAATTAAATATCTATGCTACAAGAAACGAATAAATTCTTAATTTACTATCCAATGTGCACTTTTTGGGAAGCGTGTGTTACGACAAACAAAACAAGCACAATCAGCTCATAACCAAAAAAGTGGTGTTGCTTCTCCACCTCTGTACCAAGCCTTATCCGGATTGTCGATCAACAACCAACTCAATCTCACCCTTACATTACATAAACACTTCAACCAACTACTACTTCATATACATCATTGTTTCGTATAATTTGTAATTGAACAGGATTCCATTAAAGGGTATTACCTAAAAAAACTTCGGTACCTTTTTCTACCTACTTCACATTCTTTGTTCTTCATTAGTCTGTAAATTTTTCATGGTATTAGAGCATTATCAGCCCAATGACAACCTTTCTTTCAACATCATAAGCTCCTTCAATGCCTTTTCTGGTGCAAACATCTTGCCGACGAACTCTCTTCCTGTCAACAACCTAATCCCGACCAAGCTAAAATTTATCATGACGAACATTCAGAGCTTTATCTCCATCCAGCTCACTCACATGACCTAGAAAGCCCATGTTACCAAGCTATTTCGAGCAAATGACTACGATGGCTTTCTAGATGGGTTCTGCAATTCTTTGGCATGTCACACCACCAATTCCACTAGAAATCTCAGCCCTAATGCCGATTAAACAAAATTCTTACAAATATATCAAAATTTAACAACAACATTATATGTGTTTTCCACCCCACCCACCCAATTCTTCCTCATGCTTTACCGCTTGACACATGCCATAAGATTTGGACAACTATGGAATGGAAGTTACAATCCTCCAACAAATCAAGAATTATTCAGTTGAAAAAAAAGCTATACAATCTGAATATGTAGGGCAAAATTATGAACAAGTAACTTTCAGATATCAAAACCAAAGTGACATTACTGCAACTGTGGCACCCCTCTAGATCTAGAAGACATTATTTTTATATCCTAAATCGTTTCCCACCTATCTATCATGCATTCAAGACTGCAATTTGGACGAACCTTCAACCAATCTCTCTATACGACCTATATACATTATTATGTAGTGAAGAGCTCACTCTGACGCAAAAATCATCCAAAGAACTATCTCAACGGATAACCCTCACAATAAATTGTGGAAGAGGAAGAGACAGAAGAAATAAATTTCTCCTTAAATAAAACAAAATTCCATCGCCCAATATAAATTAGATCAACTTCAACTCAAACAACCCCAAAAAACATTTCAGTATATGTCATATATGCACTAAATCAGGGCATTTCATCTCTAACTGTTGGTATAGACAAGACAAATCTTATCAACAACCCTCAGATCTTGTCACTGCCAAATAAATCCTCCAACAAATAAGTGGTACCTGAACTTCAGAGTCACTAAGCATTTCAAATTTGATCTACAATAGATCTCAACGCTTAAGCATATTGTAGAAACAACAATATTACAATGGGAAATGGAAAACAGCTTTCCATTGCTCACATTGGCCAAAGATTACTACCTACACCATTCCAGAAGTTAAGACTATCTCATCTTCATCACATTCCTAACTTAGTCTATAATCTTATCTTAGTTTGCAAACTAACCAAAGTAAATTCTTATTTTTTCACCTTTACATCAATTGGCTACAAAATTAAGGATATCAAGACACATCACACACTTCTTGAAGGTCCACACATATGTGGACTCTACTAGTATATTCATCCACTCCCGACATCTCCAACTCCCTTGCACTACTCTCTTTTCAAAGAATTCCACAACATTAGCATTGCATGATTGGCCAACCCTTAGCCTAGAAACAATCAATCATTTCCACAAGCATCCCATCCGTACACTAATCATTTAAGCATTTACATTGTACTCTTCGTAGCCTTCGTAATAATCATAAGCTAGCATTCTTTCTATCTACTTTTTGAGTGTCATGCCTTTACAAATTATTCATCTGTGACTAGGGCTTATGAAATAACTAAGTCGTCTGGTAAGAAACATCCAACTGCTTCGAGGTTGAACTGGGTTGTAAGAGCAGAGGACAAATCTTTATAACCCACACGGGCAGTGACCTGTCAGCTAAATGAGGCTCGCTAAACGACATCAACGAAGAGGGCAAATGAGCGAGAAGGCTAATCCCTAAACAGGTAGAGGTAGTTATGTCAGAGTTCCATAGACCTGTCATCCCAAGATATTAGTATCCCGATTCTACCTGATAGTGAAGATAGTCTACCCAACATGTCCAGAGATCCCCAGTTAGCAATCTGTGAATTGCGTCGTTTGCGGAGACTTCAGTAGCCCTAAGGTCAAAGGAATGAAACTCTATGTTATGACAATAAGGTGGAACTCTAAAATGTGAGAATTATACCTACCGATGTGGCAAGGATACTGCTGGAAAGGAAGAAAAATGGAGGTTCAACTACAAAGCTGATTGTTGAACTCATTTTTAAGAGTTTTTTCGCCTTCTCTAGAGCCTGGGATCTAGCCATAGATCTTCTTTATTGACTCTTCTAGATGAAAAGTATTGGAAACCACATCACTTAGAAATTCAAACCACTTCTTGACTTCTTATAGTCTCGTGTGTATGGTCTTGAATCCTCAACTCTTGGTTGAGTCAATTGAGACCAACACATTGAATCTTAAGTTAAGTTCTCATAAAGATTGAAGAAGCCCTAAGAAGACTTTTTGGGACTTGTAAATTAAATTTTTTGAAACATCACAATTCACATCACATTCACACTAGATTCACTAATCAAAATCAATGTCAAATTTAAATAAAAGTAAAGCCCACATGACACAATTTTGAGACTCTCTGGTCTGTGTTGAGAGGCACATTGCCAATATCGTTATGCCAGATTTCGACTTTCACTTGGGTGAAAATCGGTCAGCATTTTGTCTGTCGGACGACTCTGATTAGGTCGAAGAATAATTTTCGCCACGCCGCACGCGAAATTGGCTAAAATGGGTCCGATCGTCGACGAATTTGCCCAGACGTCGCCGAATGACAAAATGGACTGCGCGAGTTCGTCTGGAACATTAATTTAAGAGAGAATACCCATTTTATTATAGTTTCACGTACAAACGAGTAATGTGCAAATTGAGACTTTTAGATAAATAATAATAATAATAAACCTTTATAAAACTCACATGACCCCCTCTCCCTTAAGACATCTATCCCTCTCACTTGTGTGCCCTAACCCACAATACCCTAACTTTCCCATCTCCCTCACGCGACATTCTGTCGGTGCAGACTTCACCGACCGTGGCTTCCAAGGCAAGCCACACCCACCTTCTCTTGGCTATAAATATCCCCTCTCGCTCAAGCCCTGGCCGACCTCCACTTTTCATTATGTCCGAACACCGGCGTCCAAACACCGAACTTAAAATTATGTCCAATGTTCAATTAAAACAAATGAATAATTCGAGTGAGTCCCACTAAAAAAATAACAAAAAAAAGAAGTGTGTTGCAATGAAACCTCGCCCAGCTCACCTCCGACCCTCGATCAATCTTGCCAGGCTTCTCCCCCAATTTTATTTCTTTTGGCCCGATATTTTTTTCTCCCGCCCGACTTCTTCTCTGAAACCTGTTCATTCGTTTTCCCTCTTTCCTTTCCGATCAAACCGCAAGAAACCTCAAAACCCGGTAAACCTAAACTTCTATTTCATCATTTGATCGCATATCATTGCTACCATTCTCCTTGTATACATCTTTAATGTGTGAATTGCATACTTTAGTTTCAGATTTAATGTTTCTTTATTCTACATCTGGATTCATAAAAAAAGAAGGACCTAGGAAAATATCTCTGTCAAAACTGTTTGTTCATAAAGAAATATTGATTAGAGGGCATAGGTTTCTTTTGCTTTCTTTATTGCCGCATGCATACAAGACTTTGTTTCTCTTTGTGAATTTTCCCCTAAATCTTTGTTCTTAAGAATGTCTTAATCCATCTCTGTGATGTATTTTGAATTGATTTTCTTAATTAAGCTAACAGAAATTTGGTTCTATTTACTTCTAAGCTTATGGATTTTATTTCAGAAATTTTAATTTTTTTTATGATCTTCTCTAACATTCATTATCCGCTAGCAGTCTTTAAATCTGAAGATTCTTAATCTTTCTTGATTCATATTTGAATAAAAGAAAATCATCGTGATTATCTATCATTTTATAATCTCACTATTCCTTTAACTGAAACCTCTATTTACTTCTGGATTTGTGTTTAATTATCTTGGATATCTGTTTTAGTAATATAGGGTTGGGATGCATGCTTTAGATTATATGTTTCAAATGATATATATGTTTGAAAAAAATGCTTTAACGCCTATTGGTAATTTATATGATTATACCAAAACATATAAATCTGGTTTTGGGAAAGGTTTATGAGAGTTCTCACTTCTTGATTCTAGTCATTTATGACCGAGATGCAATTAAAATGCTATTTCAAATATCTGAAATTTGCAAGAATTGCTGAGGGATGATGATTTGATGATTCACATGTGTTTATAATTCATTTAACGTAACGTTGTTTTTTCTTAAACTTGGCTAAGCGCATGTTGAAGTGAGCGATAAGTCGAGGTTATGATTTTATCTCTTTTCTTGTGTGGGATTTGAATGGTCTTGATGGGATTCATGAAAAAAAAAAAGATAAATTGTTTTGAGTTGCTGTTGAAATGCTTTATGAATTATATCTTGGGTTTATGTGAAAATCAATGACCATTTGAGAAAGTTTTATAGACTAGGAACATGCTTCAGTTTCCTCAGATTAGTGTAGCAAACTTCATTTTATGATTTAGTTCATACTTTTATATTGGATCTATAATAAGTTTTGAAGTTGAATCCTTTGATAAAAAAAATGGGAGAAGCCATATGAATAAATTCTATTTAAATTTTTCTAAGTCTGATAAAGAAACTTTGTAGCAATTTAGTTCAGAAAGATATTTACTACATACCATTCAATACTTATATGTTTAAATGTATAATACTTAACTTTAAGATATTTACTATTGTTAAATTCTTGAATATATTCACATATAAGCACTTAACTGAAATATATGTTTATGGATTTCCTTGATTGCAACGTTTTTACACTTCTGCACCTTGGTATGATAAATTTATGCATGTAAAGATGAATTTCAGTCTAAAAAAAAAGGGGAAAAGATGAGTGCTTTTAACGTGATGTTAAAGATAAGCCTAATACTTTTGTATATATGAAAATTTCAATGTCAGATATGTGAATACAGAATTATGTGTTATGTATGTAAATGCGCTCGACCCTTGAACTATAAAAGTGGATAATCTGATATTTATGTGAGTATTACAATTTTCTTTACAATCACTATCCTTCGTAACTTCATGAAGCATATGCTTGATCCAATGCATCTTCTTTAAATCTTATAAAATATCATTGGATGTTCTTTTGTCAATCATTTAAAATTTTCTTAATTTTAAGAAAATTGTTGAAATAAATATGTTAATCTAATATTATCTTTAACTTTTTATTCCTTAATAAATGTCTTGTTTGACCTAAAATCTTTGGTCTATGCAATTTTTTTTAAAGCTTGCTTTCTTATGCTGTTTTGAGCAAATTCTTATAGTTTATATTCCATTCTATTCATTCTGCGAAGTATACTTCTTAAATTTATTTTTATTTATTTTTCATAGCAGCATTTCCATAAAATTTGAAATTTTAATATCTTCTTCTTTGAACAAAATGTTAATGTCTTTGTTGTCAGTGCATCTAACTTAATAGAAATAGAAATGTATGCATCCTTTTTTTTCCTTTTTATATAGGTTTTGTCTCATTTACTCGTTCAGATTTAGCCGACCACATAGATCATCAAATTTATAACATTATTCCATTTTTCAATTTTATTAGCTTCCTTGTTTTTGTATATCCCATAACGTTTGTTCATTTGCTCTCTGCCATTCCTTATAGATTCATTGCTATCTCTTGAATAACTTCTGACATCGCCGCAATCCACCAAGAGTCATCTTACTTGCAAAAGATCAATCATCCGTATCCAAACAATTTAAAATTGGGTCATTTACATGCACAACATGCAATTCTTACGTATTTATATATCTCACATCTAAACTTTTATATTTACACAATAGTACTCAAATTTTTAACATCACATAAAAAATATCACTATCACCACTTTTTACAAAATTTAATACACATTTTCATGCATAGGTAAGATGACATATATGTAAAAGTTGAACTTTAGGGGTAAGATATATAAACACAGAAGAATTGAGTGGATTATGGGTAAATTCTCTTATTATTGCTTCACATGTAAGGTTGTTTAAGAAGTTTATTGACCTCCTTCGAGGTGGCACACTTCGTGGCGACCCTTACTCGAGCATTCTTTTCGGTTTAAATGAGCAACCGAGGAGGTTCTCCTAGCTTCTTCTAGCAACCTTATGTGATAATTTTTATCCTTTCATTTATGTTCCAAAGCTGGCATATATAAATTAATTATTATGAGACCATATACTATAATTCTTAAAAAAATGATTATTTGAAATTGCATCAAAGGTGGCAGGTACGTCTACTACTTTCTTGTTTACTACACTTGACTGTATATGCTTTATTTATACATATTTTATTGTTATTCTTCTTTTACTGATTGTATTTCCTAGCATATAAAACAAGAAAACCCTAGGATAGAACACATGAGACATATGTTTATGCTGAGATCTTATAACATGTGACTAATACATTCATTTGACAAAATGATTTTAATAAATTTTAAAACCTCCATAATGAAACTCATTAATTAAAGAAAGAAAAATTCAATCAAATACATCACAAAGTGTTTAAAACTTTGATAAATCAATTCAAGAAACTCAAATAAGTTGTATAATATTGTCGGTAAACATTCAGATTAAAATATAACAATAATAACATAATAATAATAATTTATCATTTGGATTTATGAGCATCTCTTGGATGAGGTAGCCCATGGTTACTAATAAGAATTCTCTGGTCTAAAGAAGTTTAACAGATTCTTTAAACTAAGTGAAGGACGACGAAACTATACCGTCATCGCTCAAAATAAAATAAAATTTCCCTTTTAATCATTTCAATAATAAAAAAACCATTTCACAACAACCAAACAGACAACAAAAACCTAGGGTAGGCCTTCTGAGGCATGATTTTATCTTTTTTTTCATATACTTAATTAACATAAGTCTTAGGACTTCGAGGTAATTCGTCTAAATCCTTAAACTATCTTTTAGGCTTTCGCATGATTGTATGTCGTGCAATATAAGCCCTAACTCTTTTTAAGATCTCGAGGTTGTTCGATACGACATAAATCCTCATATATATTTAGGCGGTTTGCATGATTGTATGTCATGCAAATGTAAGACCAAAATTTCTAATTAAATTGCATGATTAAAATAATGAATAACTTCCCTTTCAAAGATGTAAAGTTAAACCATAGGTTAATTTAAGATGTCACTGAGGTTTTCTCGGTATCTTCGACATCTCCTACTTTTTGTTTCTTTGAATTTCGAAAATAATTGTTCTACATTGAGCATTTCCCAGTTGATTTTCCTAAAATCAATTGTGGGAACTAAACATTGAATTCTTGGAGACAAAACTTCAATCTTATTCGAGTGTTTTTTTAAATGATTTCATTCGCTTGAGATATAATTAACTATAGGGTTTGCGTCTATGGAAGAATTAATAACCCAGATAATCTAAATCGCATTTAATCTTCTGATTAGATCGGGGAACGATCTGTTGGTATTTTTGTAAACTAAACAAATATCATAAATTTCTTAGTTTGAATAATTGAATCTATTATTAAGTGATATTCTCATCTTTCGAGATGACATATTACGTTTAATTAAAAATTATTATTATTATTTTAAATTAAGTCTATTGTGACACCTATTAGGCCCCTTAGAACCTTAACACGACATGCATGTTCCAATCACGGCATGTTAGCTAGTATTGCTCCCCTCCACCCCCCCTAGAGGCATCCTCGTAGATTATACTCACAACCTTGTTGTGACCAGTGGAGGGTCACTAAGCTAAAAAACCAGTTTCGTCGTAGAGACGATTGAAAAATACACATGCAAATCCAACATGATCTAATGTAATATGATAGTGTAGGGTGCTATCACAAGATAACAAACATTCGCCACTAGCATACGGTGGCGTGTACCAATGACAAATGCACTGACAGTGTGATAGTGTGCATGCAAAACATACGACACAAGCGAAGATAAGTTTACCGAGAGGGCGGTGACTCAGAGCGTGGGTGTGTCGTGGAGGCAGTGACTCGAATGGGTGAGTGTGTCGTGGAGTAAGTGACCCAGCGGGATTGGTGAGTTGTGGAGTCAGTGACCCAGAGAAGTGGGTGTGTCGTGGAGGCAGTGACCCCGAGAGTGGGTATGTAGTGGAGGCAGTGACCTTGTCGTGAAGGCAATGACTCTGAGGGTTGGTGTGCTATAGAGGCAGTGACCCAGAATGGTGGGTGTGTTGTGGAGGTAGTGACCCAAAAGAATGGGTGTGTCGTGGAGGTTGTGATCCGGATGAATGAGTGTGTCGTGATGGCAGTGACCTGGAAGGGTGGCATACAACAGTGTGATGTGGTGTCATAGAAGAGAAGGTGAAGTAATTCTCACTGGGA